ATAGACTTAACGACACTTAACAAAAATATACTTAAAAGGAGGAGTCCTGGGGTGGCGCTGTGGGTTAATGTGCTAGACTGCAAAGTCGTCTGGACTGCAAGGTTGGCAGTTCAAGCTCACCAGCTGCTTCTTGGAAACCCTACACGGGGTCGCTATGTGTCGGAACCAATTCGATGGCACTTCACAACAACAACAACAAAAAACCTAAAAATTCAGCTTGATGATTAAGGTGTGCCTGACCCAAGTCATGCTATTTTCTATACCCTCATATGCATTCCTCTTGTTAAGGAATGTATATAATGAAATGTCTCCTGCACATCTCAGCTGGCATTTAGAAAGATGGCACTTTTCCTAAGGGATGAATCTGTATTCAAAGCACAGCTGGGATTTAACCAGGACAAGTCCTGAACCAACAACACAAGTCTAAGATTCTACTGAAAAGTGTTCTATTTCTTCTAAATGTCATGGAACAGTGAGGTTCAGAACTGACGCTCCTTCCCTAACACTGCTCTTGGCTACTACATAACAAAAAGAGACTCACCACAGACAGGGATGGGCAACTTGGACACTGGCTACCCAAAATGGGGGGGCTACAAAGGCAAGAAGTGACTGGCTTACAAGCTTTCAAGAGGGAGCCTAGATCCAGAGGGTAGGGAGGAAGGTAGAATCTCCACTGAGTAATATCCAATCTGTCTGATGAAAATGGGGCTGATGAAAGGAGATGGGGATAGTTCCCTTGTGGTACAATAGTGAATAACTGTTATCAGGACTGACTGCGAGTGTTGGAAATGCAAAGGCAGACGTTTTGTAGCGGGGAGCGATTGACTTTGCAGTCCAGGAGCAGAGGTCCCTGGAACCATCAAGGGAAAAGAGTGGAGTGTGGGACCCTACCCAGAGAAGCAGTGACGCCAGAGATGGAGGCAGAGACAATGACGTGGAGAGATGGAGCGGCTGGGGACTTTAGACCCAGAGAGGGAGAGTGGCTGTGTGCTGATGACCAGGGGTGGGGAGGGTGGGGGCAGGCTTGCAGGGTATACCCTTTGGTTGGTTGATGATGCATGGAGGGGATTATAACCATGGCAATGAAATAACATACGATAGGATGAGCGTAAAGCTAATGTTCTCCCATGTAAACTACTATCACATAATTCACAATAAAACATTAAAGAAAAAAAAAGATAAAAAAATACCAGTTTTACTGGTGAGAAAGAGACTGGAAAAACCCAAGGCTATTGAACTGGAACTGAATTCGCCCTCACAGCTCAATTTTCAGCCAAGCAGCAGATAGATATGGGTGGGGAAACAACACTAGTGAACTATGCACACCATACAACAGTCAACCTTTCAAGATCAAAAACAAAACAAAAAACACATTTACCTAAGAATAAAATTTAGAAGGGTTGGGAAAGAAGGAGGAAGGAAACAGGTAGTATGAGGGATAAGTGAGGTTACACTGAAGAAATTGACATGGTTGAAATGGATGGAAATATACGATGTGTTGACTGTAAAACTGATGCTCTGCTCCATAACCCTTCACTCAATTCACAATTAAAGGTTACAACACTCCACTCCAACGAGACCTGTGGGAAGGAACAGTGCCCACACAACAAAATCAACAATCTCTTCAATACCTACCAGTTTTGAAGACCTATTTGGCCGTACTGGATTCTTTTCTAGGATTTCAACGATATATAAATGGTGTGGATTCCGAAGCCACATCTTTCCATTTACATCCATTAAGTATTGTAAAACTAAGAGTTTGAATAGAAATCCCCAAATTCCAGACTGTACCTAAAGACAGAATTACATGCGCTTTAATATACAAACTGAAGACTAGTTCTCCCAACCCAGAGGATTTGCATTTTGCTCTCAGGCAAAATGACACTGAACTTGGATACATGTAAAAGGGGGCAACTCTATACTGCGGAGGAGGCAGGTGGGGAGCCGGGGCTCTGTCTTCCCTGACTGGGCCCCTTGGTTCAAAATCTCAGCACTTACTGAAGACGTCACATCTAAGTGGAAAATGATGGGGCACTTCTGGCTCTGTGTGTCCATGAAAGGCAGGAGAGCAGCCAGGACCTGGTGTTCATCCACTTGGGGAGCCATCAATCGGATGACCTTGAGAGGCACTTTGGCCCCAGTGTACTTCCCCTTCAGTTTGCTATACAGTCTCTTCACATAGAGCGATTTCCCTGTAATGGTAACAGGTAGAAATTAGAACAGGGTGAATGTGGACAGGGTACTAGAATCCAGAATGATTAGCAGTTACCTCTCTCGGTGTAAAATTCAAGATGTCATATACAACATACACAAAACAGATGCACTGTAACCTCAGGTAAGAGATTACATTTTCAACTCTCAAATGTTCTAGTATTACCTACTCACTATGCTTGCTGTCTGCCTGGTTCTACAGCGATGGCTATAGTTACGTGTCACTGAGTCTGTTCCAACGTACAGCAACCTATAGTGTTTCTAAGGAGCAGTTTGGTGGGTTTCAACCATCAAGCTTAGAATTAGCAGTTAAGTGCTTACCCTAGAGCATCACAACCATACCTATTTAAGTGTAATTAACAGTAACCATCATGTGGGCTGGCCGTTTTCGTCCCAACACAATGTAACACAGATGCTGAAATAGAGTCAGAACAGACGGAAACAATTCCTTCTTTCCAGACCGCTGTGTTAGTTTCTCGATGGTGTCACCTTCCCCAGGAGCAGAGTGTGGAATTAGGGAAATGAGATAGGAACTGAGGGGGGCGGGAATCTCGGTTCCTTCTCAGACACAGTCATAATTCCTGCCCTGCTCTCCAACATCAGCCCCAAAGGGCCCAAGAGAGTTGAACTTGCCTAGAGGGGAAAGGCTGGGGGGCTCACAGGAATTGTCCCATACTGGGCCACAGGGGAGCAAGGTTGCCCCATTGTATCATGGATACTGACTGAAACTCAAGATGAATCAAAAAAAAAAACCTCCCCGAGACTCAGTTTACCCACTCTCGGACAAGGGAAGCATCCTGAGGAGGTTCTTGGGAGAAGTGTGGCCCAGAAATCTCAGCTGTGATCTTACCAACACTGGCTCTCCGCGACGTCACCACTCCGACACACATCTGGTCCTTGAACACAGCAGCTGCTGACTGCATCTGCACTGGGACCTGGAAGTGGCTCGCCAGGTAAGTCTGGATGTCCTGGAGCGAGGCCTGCGGGGTGACGAGGACTTTGTACTGGCTGAAGGCCGAGGGGAGGTAGCAGTGCTCGCGGTCACTGTCGCAGACCAGGATGAGCTGGTAGTCCTCGTGGTACTGCTGCAGACACAGGCTCTGGAAGAGTGCTTCCACCTGAGAGGCCACCTCGTAGCTCAGCTGGTCTGCAAACAGCAGGCTGTAGACCTTGCGCCCCAGGGAGCCCAGGGTAAGACAGCGGCGCAGAAGCAGAGCCACCTCCTCAAACGTGGTTCCTGGGGTGCAGAGCAGCACCTCGTCATAGGTAGGCAGGGGCTGGCTCGGGGTCTGCACGTAGATGGCCAGGGCAGCTGGCAGTATCTCTGAGTGGCCACACACAACCAGGTTGGGCTGGCCGACCTGCAGGCCTCTGGGCAGATGCCGCTCCACAGGGGGTCCACTCATGTTAGACAGATGAGCCAGACAGCGGCCGAGGGCGTCCAGGTCCAAGCATTGAGGCAGGAAGATGCACATGTATTTCATGGATTGTTCCATGATGACCCTCAGCTTGTCCGCAAGGCTGAGCTCAGAGGAGAGCATCTGGGCTAACTCTGCTTTCACTGTCTGCACGAGCTGTCTGCTGGTTGGCACGTCAGTCCTGCTGCAGGTCTGGGAGACATCACTCGGGGTGCAGTTGTGTTTGATGAAGGACAGCATCATCAGGGCTGCCTCACTGGGGCTCGGCTTCTTGAGCTCTGTGCTCAGGTAGACCAGCTGCTCGGCTGTGTAGAGGTTGAGGTAGAAGTGTTCGGTTCGCTTCTCTTCCAGGAGTCTCTTCCAGCAATCCAGGAAGTGCTCCATCTGCCTGCACAGGTCCTCCAGCAGCCCGGCCACCTCTCCCCTCCCTGTGAGCCAGCCCACCAGCTCCAGGTTGAAGTCCATGTGGATGGAAACATTCCACCTTGGGGAGCAGAACACCTCCACGCGCCAGGTCCTGAACAACATGTTCCCAGCAGAGTAAAGGTTTATAAAGGACTGGACAAGTCTCTGCACGTTGCAAAACACCTGTGGAACCATGAGGTGGATGTTACAGAGCTGTTCTAGATAGACCACAGAGTCTAGAATAGAAACAGGTTCTAGTTTGAAGGCCCTAGGCTCAATGTGTGACCACGAATGAGCAAATGATAAAGCTGCCATCAAGTCAGCTCCCGACATATGGTGAGCCCGTGCGCATGGGCGTTGTAGATCAGGACTGTGACTCTTAGGCTTTCCCTGGCTGATATTTGATAATAGGTCAGCAGGCCTTTTTCCGAGTTCCACCCATCTAGCAATAGGCAAGCCTCCTCTGACAGATAGGTGGTGGCTCCCCATGAAGTGCAAACTTGGCCTTGACCCTGGTCTCCTGCCTGGAGGCAACAGTTCTATTGTTGAACCAATAACATTCCTGGGAGCAAATGATACCCATCACAAAAGGCCTTCTCTTCTCCTGCATTGTAATTGGCCTAACTGGAGGCAGTAAATTTTAAGGTCAAAGATATCATTTGTGATGTACAATGAACTTGAAGTAAAGAACCCATAATAAATTCAAGTGATGATTACATAACCAATATGCCCTTCAAGTGTTTTTGGATTTTCGCTAATTTACAGAGTGAAAGGAACAATGTCATCCAATGAGCCATAAGGAAGCCTGCTAACCAAAGGGCCAGGAAATTGGATGACATGCATTCTGTATATTCAATAGATAAGCTCTATAGGGACTTCATAGCAATGAAATCCCAACTGACACCATTTTGAGTTTCTCCAGCAACTCAACAGTGGGCCAACTCCACCCTCACAGATGAGACTGTGGGGTCCTCCTGCCTCTAGCAGGATCGTGAGCACTCACCTCAGAAAACATCTCCACTTCACAGCTGTTCTGATCTTTTTTGCCAGACATCAGCATCAACTTGTTCAAAAGCTCTCTCAGTTCTTCTAAAGAGTACTCTCGTATTTGTTCCTGGTCACCAAGACTCTCGGGAAGGACCAAGCGTAGGACAGAGTCCTCAGAGATCTACATCACATCACAAGAGGAGTGGTCAGTTGCTGGTGGCAGAGCCCTTTATGGGCAACAGCCCAAGTACACCCTCAAAAGCCTGCCTGGGACCAGCGGTCACTTACCTTTTGGCCATCTTTAGGGGCCTCAATGATGTAGATGCCTTTGCTGTTGATGGCTGTTGCCAGGGACAGGGACGAGAGCTCTACAGACCCGTGACTTTCCTTCACTGTTTTTAGCCATTCCAGGTTCCTGGCTGAATCACACTGTTGAGATAAAAGTCGGGAAAATGGGCCGTGGGTCAGGTGCCCATGGTCTTTCTCTACTCCCTACAAGTCCTCGTCCTTGCCTCTTCTGAGGATATTCAGAGACCACAGAAGGGCATCTGGAGATTCAGCCCCATGGCCTTGGGTCCACCACCACTCCCTGGAAGGTTCTTTGTGCTTAGGACCCAGCTGACCAGTGGTATTTCCAAGGGGAGCAGGTTTGGTACCAGGCTATCCTCAATCACATCTGTAAGTACAGGCTGAGTGCCCCACCTGCCAGTGGTGGAGAATTGGTCAAGAGCCTCTTCCAGAAACTCCCATATCAAGGTGTGGCGTCCTACATGGGATGAGTGCAAGCTTTCTTGAAGTTACTCTGCTCGGAGGCCAGAACTAAGACTTACCAGTTTCTTGGGCAGGTGTGGGTCATTTTCCAGAGCTTTCCACAGCTCGTCCAGATGGTTCATGAACGTATCAAAGCCTGCCGTTTTTTCGAGTTTATACAGCACAGAAGCGTAGCCTTGCACGGCATCGTGGAAACAGGCCACGCGGTCCACATCTATGTCGTTCTCACCCGCTGAGATGGAGGCCAGGTCCACAAATACCTTCAGCTCATTAATGTCTCGGGAAGACAAGAGACGAAGTCAGTACCTTTAGACTCAGTCTTTGCCACCGGCCTTACTGAACTGTGAATGGAGCTTATGCACAATCAGCTTTCACTAAGATTCTGGGGCCCCTTTTCCTGAACAAAACCATGTCCCCCAAGCACTATACTGGCTTCTGCGTACCCTGTTCCAGTTAATCCACACACCATCACCATTTTATACAAAAAGAATCTGAGGCTCAGAGAGTAACAGCTTTTTGATGATTATCTATAAAAAAAAAAACACAAAAATCTGAGCTACAGTCTCATTTGGCTAATTACTAATCAAAGGCTGTAAATCAATGTGGGCCAAGTCCCCATAGAAAGCAGAGGCACCCCTTGGGAGGCAGATCCCACCAACCTCTATACCCACAGGGGCTGCACCCCAGACCTCTCCTTGTGCCTTGTTCTCTAGTAAAACACCAATTGGAAGAAAAGCTTAAGGCAGCAAGATTTTAAAGAAATTGTTCCCAGTTGTCTGCAGTAACTAGAGAGTGGGGAAAGTGGCAAAGGGAAGGCTTAGTGCCAGGCATGAGATGCCAACACACACCAGTGACACGCACACTGCACATGTGCCTAGAGAATGGAAATGATAAGACTGTCCTTGGGCAGTCTGGTCCAGGGGAGGTGTTTCCTGGACATTTCAGCAAACCACCCAGGGCACCATCCGGAGCTCTCACCAGCCTGCTGACTACCTCCCGTCAGTCATTTACCTCCAAGGGCCTCCTGGAGCCAGCTGATGAACTCCTTCCTCAGTGCCAGTTCCTCCAGGCACCGACACCGCGCAGCACTGATGTCCTGGACCAGTTTTTTTGCCTTGATAAGCTGCTGGCTGATCCGGGTTAGCTTTTCATGGTGAAAGTGTTCAAAATCTGCTGTCTGCAAAACAAAGCTTTGCTATGGAATGACAATGGATACCTGGATGTAGTCTGCGAGGAGCAGCAACTAGGCCACCTGAACGACTCCCTCTCTGCCCAGTTTTCCTGTGTGTGAGCTGCTATAGCAACAGGCAAACAAAAGGAAGATGCTCTTATCCCGGGACTGAACAGGGGTTACAAAAAGTAGCTGCTGCTGCATCAACCCTGTGTGTGTCCACAGGGTACAGACCATTGATTCTCAGGGGGCAGAGCACCAGAGCTTTATTCTGAGGCCCCTCGGAGTGGATCTGAACCTCTAATCTATCAGTTATCCAAACATCCTCCTCCTGTGCTCCTGACGCTCTATTAAGCATTTAGCATGGATTGAAGACCCTGAGTCCTCACAGGAATCCTATTGTGTATTGTTTTCTATATTAAAGCACTAAGGTTCAGAACAGCGATTTATCAGGCTTCCGTGGGCAGGATTCTGCGTTCATCCTTTAAACCATCATGCCTGCCTAGACTACACTGTGCTGTTGTTGTTGTTGCGGTGTGAGGGGATCCTAACTTACAGTGACCCTCGAGGACAAGATGACCAGGCTGTTAACTTCCTGGGAGCAGCCTGCCAGGTGTTTTCTCCTGTGAAGTAGCCAATAGGTTCCACCTTCTCATCTCTCTGTAAGGAGCCAAGCACTTAACCTCTGTACCACCAGGGTTCCTTATGCTCTCATATATGTTAGCATGTACTGTATCATATATGTTAGCGTGTACTGTATCAGTGCCCACCATAAAAAAAAGTGAAACATTACCTTGCTAATTCTAACAGGAAAAAAAAGTTATTTTCGTTGCTTCTGGCTAGATGAGGTTGGATAGCCAACAAAGTAAATACTTTTTTATTTTACGTCTCTAACCAAAGGGAACCAAATCACTGTTTACAAACATGTATTATCGCTCACTTCCTAAACTCTTGATCCTCCAGGCAAATGCTCGTCAGTCACACTAGTTACCAACAATGATAAAAACGGAGCCCGTGGCATGTCCAGGGACAAAGGACAATCCAAACCAGAACTGTTCAAAGAAGCTACTGACCCACGCTGTCTGCTTCTTACAACCCAAAAGACTGCGGGCTCCCAGGACTGAGCTAGGATCTTCACTTCACCCTCCACCCTCAGGTGATTCTGCAAAAAACTTACAAAACTTGATAAAGTGTGAAGAACACTGAAGTCACCGTTCAGGGCCAGATTCTCTTTGACTTTCAAGATGACCTTGACTGAGGCAGCAGCCTGATGAAGGTCATGGAACTCCTTGATCTGCTCGACACGCTCCTGGATCCAACACCTTTCGTTCTTCTCATCCACATTGCACATGACGTTGAGTTCTGAATCCAGGTCACTGTATTTATTAACAAAATCTTTGAAGAAGGCATTGATTTCTTCAAAGGTGACCTCTCCTGACTTCAGATTCATATACAGTCTAAGGAACCTTTTATAACAAGGGAGGAATAATTCCCCACACACATCTTCCAGGTGAAATGCTTGCTCTTCTGATTCCTTGTCAGGCTCGTGTAGCAGCTCTGCAGCTTCTTCCCAGAAGAGCTTGAAGATGTAGCTGTTCCTCAGCAGGTACACAGTCCTCCCCATCTCGCGGACCGTGTCACTCAGGTCGTAGTATGTTGTATGTTCCATAGGTGAGCAGCTAGAGAGTCTCACCGTCACAACTTCACTTAGTTTCTTACTGCTCAGGTCTTCCAGATGCTTGTGGGCAATCTCTCCAAAATCCACTTTGGAAAACATAAGAAAACACGTTGTTATTTCCCAATGTTTATCCCCCTCCCTTCTCTAATTAAACAGACAGAAATACAACTGCAGCCGACTTTTTTCCCCATAGAAATTCTTGGATCTTTCCCTTGTTCCTTGGACTTGCTCATCAAGTCTTAAGATAATGGAAACTTTGTAGCATTTGAGGAAAGTCGACAGTGTGGAAAGAGCAGCATCTCGTCTCATTCCCTCTTTAAATCCCACTACAGACAGAACGTTTGTCAAACATCAGTTACCCACAAGGATCAGAGGGCAGAGTAAACCCTACTTACTGAACTCCCTAAGTCAAGGACACCGGTTGTACTAGCAACAAGAAATTGGGAAGAAGCGATGGAAGTAAGTAGACCTACACTCAAAGTCTGCATAAGAAGTGGTTGAATGTGCGAATTTTCTCTTTGGAAACTACACAAGGCTGCTACAAGTCAGAACCCACTTGATGGTACAACAACAACAACCTAGCAAAGGGGAGCATGGTGGCTTTACACCATGGTAAGCACTGGACTATAAATAATGAGGACTAGGGTTCAAGTCTGCTAGCCACTCTGCAGAAGAAAGATGAGGCTTTCCACGCCCACGAAGATTTAAAGCCTCAGACACCCTACATAGGACTGCTATGAGTTCAAACTGTGCAGAGCATTACAAACTATGAATAAAATTGCAAAGAACGGGTATTCCAGAAGACTCCATTGTGCTCATGAGGAACCTGTGCACAGACCAAGAGGCAACTGTTAGAACATAAAGAAGAGACACTGAATGGGTTAAAATGAGGAGAAGTGTGCACCAGGGTTGTAACCCTTTTCATCACACTTATTCAATCTGTATGTTGAGCAAATAATCTGAGATGCTGGATTATATGAAGAAGAAAGCGGCATCTGAATTGGAGGAAGACTCATTAAAATGCTTCAATATGCAAATGATACAACCTTGCTTGCTGAAAGCAAATAGGACTTAAAATACTTAACTGATGAAGATCAAAGAGTCCAGCTGTCAGGATAGACTGCACCTCAATGTAAAGAAAACAAAAACCCTCACCACTGAACCGGTAACATCAGGGTAAAAATCCTCACCACTGAACCGGTAACATCAGGGTAAAAATCCTCACCACTGAACCGGTAACATCA